GAGAGCTTGAAGATCAGACTGGTGGAGTATAACGTATAGACGAAGGCGGAATATACAGAGAGCATAATGTAAAGGTAACGTGAAGACTCACTGCAACGGCTTGGAGATTAGTTGTGAGTGTTACAGGGCTATGGGTAACATCCTGCTTTACAAGGATTGAAGATCCTCCAGTAGCCCTGTCACCCTTAGGTGAAAAATAATTATATACATCGAACTGACGTAAATTATATGTATCTGTCTGCCTCAGATAGGTTTCCAGCATTCTGTGAGCAGGAACTAATATCGGGACTCTGCTAAACATATCAGTTGATAACAGGTTGGTAGCTTGTTGTTTTCTGTTACATTCAATTAACAGCGATCCTGAGCGCAAGCGTTTGATGTTTTTTTACTTCACCTGCTATGCCAGAGACACAAATTACTCCACCAGATTGGCTAATGAGCCACCGCCGTCTGGGCATAGGACTCTAGGCAAATTACAAAACTGAAATATTTCCAAATTCAAATATATACCGCACCACCTGTAAATTTTGAAATATTGTAATAGGATTGTGAGCGTGAATATGAATGTTGGAAATGTTGTTAATAACACAAAAGACAATAAATTGCCCGAACACATCAGGGAACACATCACACAACAACAAAATTCATGCACAGCACACACGAAAAGCACAAAGTGCATGCGTAAAACATGCTGATCAGGGGCATAAATGACAGTCGGCAAAAATTCGTTCTCATTTCAGCTGAACCTCCGCAAGTAAAGTTTATTTTGCAATGCCAAGATTGTCACCGGAGGAACGAGAACGGGCGTTGGGCATGTTGCAGGTTGGCACATCAAGCAGGATTATTGCCAGACGATTTGGTTGCCATCATTCCACCAGCATAAGACTTGCCAACAGGTACTAACAAACAGGAAGCACCAGGGACCGCCAACGTCCTGGCCAGGCACGTGTTACCACCCCTCACCAAGATCGAGACATTGTTCGGCGCCATATTCGGCATCGTACGTCGCCGGCTGCTAGAACTGCCAACGCTGTCCAAGGCCGACGTGGTTTGATCAGTGCTTCCACCGTCCGACGCCGTCTCCGTGCGGCACGATTACGGTGTCGACGCCCTTATGTTGGACCCATCCTGACTGATAGACATCGCCGTGAACACCGTCGATGGTCCGAACAGCATTGTGTTGTGTTCTCCGACGAGTCACGTTTTCACTTGCGAAATGCTGACGGGCGTATACGGATATGGCGTCGACGGGGAGAACGTTACCATCAGGACTGTGTTGTGCAAACAGATCGGTGGGATGGAGACAGCTTTATGGTGTGGGGGAAACAGTTATCATCACAAAACCGCTCTGGTAGTTTGTCGTGGCAGAGTGAATGCCCTCTACTATCGTGACACCATTCTTCAGGTCAACGTCGTTCCCTTTCTTAACCAACATCAAGATCTGCACACATTCCAGCAGGACAATGCTCGAGCACACACTGCACGTGTTGCAACACAGTTTCTGGCAAACAACAAAATTCATCTACTTCTATGGCCTGCATTGTCATCAGATTTGTCTCCCATTGAACACTTGTGGGATTACATCGGCCAACGCCTCTCACGTCGCCCACAGATCAACAACCTTAGGGAACTTGAGAATGCCTTGCAACAAAAGTTGAAAGCATTGCCTCAAAACATTATTGAGAGACTGATCAGTTCAATTAGGAGACGTTGCAAAGCTTGTGTTGCTGCTAACGGTGGTCATACGCGTTACTGACTTCCCAATTTGACTCCATCTTTCTTTCATGGTCAGCTGAATTAAAACTTCACAGTTTTGCTGGATTGGTGCTTGTTTCTTTTCTTTACCAATCATTGGACTGAAAACGTATGTACAATTTACACCGATTGCTCATTTATGCTCTTGGAAATCCAAATTAATACAGTATATAATCATAAGCCAAGTCATCTGACAAAACTAAAACTTGTCTAGCAAAATAAACATACACAGAGCTTGGCATGACCAGCCGATAGATACAACCGGGCCAATTCTACCATCCGTCTAGGTGAAGTGGTGTGTTGGGAAAAAGGAACACAGTTGTTCCTGGTCCCTTTGCCCTCAACCACCAGACTCCCGTCCTCCATCGACACAGGGGGCGCAACCCACGGCAAACAGGTTGCCCACTTCGGTCTTACGACAAGCAATGGGATGCTGTGGACCTATTTGCCCCCGGGGCCACAAGGGGTTAAAGAGCAGCATCCCTCCAGCAGCATCCCTCCAGCAGCTGGTGATTAGCCAAGTCTAATATTGAAACCCTGGCAAAACGTGCCCAGAATGATGTAGTCTTACATACCCCCTACAGTGGCAATTATTGTATACTACTTGCACCCATTTTGAGGATACAGTCACTAACGATCTTAGTTATTCCATTCATTTAACCAAATGTGTAATACACCCGAGACCATAGATGACCTGATGGTGTACGTATCCTACCTCTTTAAGTTATGAACTTGAACAAAAAATACTTCACACATGACATTTTTCGATTAATCCATTTCGGGCAAAGCAATAATGGACTTACAGACGAAAATAAGGTGCAGATGAAATAGCGTAGTAAGTGACATAATAAAAATGTCATAATTGAATACCAGTAACCCGTGAAGATACGGGTTAGAATTGGTCTTCAGAAAACATGCTTGTCGTAAGAGGCGACTAACGGGATCAGGTGGTCAGGCTTGCTGACTTGTTTCACAAATGTCGTGGTATCCCAGTTGCATAGATCGATGCTTATTATGCTGATCACTCAACTGTCTGGTTTAGACTCAATTATCTACAGACGGACGCCATATAGCTGGAATATTGCTGAGTGCGGCGTAAACAACAAACAAATCAAACAAAACTACCAACTACCATGATCATCCTGAAAACATACCTTTAAATTGTGCAGCATGCTTCAGACATCCGAATCCTGATTTCAGCGTATTCATATTACCTAATCGCGTCATATCAGAGGTGAGGTGAGGTGAAATTGGATTTAACGTCGTGCTTGAGAATATTTCGCTCATATGACGACGTGCATGCGCGTGTGTGTGTATGTGCGGGTGCTTGTACTAGCCAGGACTTAAGCTGGTTTTATAGTGCTAGCCCACTGAAATACCATGCCGCAGTGAAGCATGGATACCTCACTCAGACACATTATACTGACTCCGAGCCGACCAGTCCTTGTTGTACCCATTAATGCCGAGCGCCAGGCAGGGACCAACAAGTACCATATTTAAACGTCTTTTTTGGTATGACGCGGTCGGGGATCGAACCCGCGACCTTCCGCTCTCCGGGCGGACACTCTAACCACTACACCACGGAGGCGGTCCGTCATATCAGAATAAGAAATAATACTTATTGTTATGTTGCCTGTTGCGGTCAGTATTATGTGTCTGTGTGGGGTGTACATATAGACACCAGACCAACGCGTTTATGAACGTCATTTATTTGTTGAATAAAAATTGACGCGGCGCTATGTTCAATGTGACCTTAACTCTCATATTCATCTGTACCACATAATAACCTGCCTCACTTATACATATATGGATGTCACGCAAATTCAACCCCGTTCTAATGAAAACCATGCTTGTTTGAAACTATAAAGAAGATATATTTCCCTGTGTTGTGCACATGATTTTTTTGTGTAGGCCTTTAGCTATTTCGACCTCACACTCAAGGAGTCAACAAACATCTACCGCATACATTTCAGCCTGAAAAAGAAAACGTGTTTATGGCGTACAGTCAGAGCAGTTAGAATGGCTGGATTGTTTTTTCCGTAGAACATATATGCATGAACTCGTGATGATGCTTGCACACTGAATACTCGTGACGACGTCTGCATTTGTGGAGAGTGTTGTGGATGTAACTATGTAAAGTTAATACGAACATCAAGTACTTGGAAAAACGATATTATGAGAATGACCCAGACGTATGTCAGACAAACATGACATGAGGTCATATTGTGGAGACTATGTTCTCCTGCCTGCTTTGTTTACAATGCATCACGTTTAAAGTTTGCATGTGAAAGACGTACGTTTGGCCAAGGTCGTAAATGTTTACATGACCCGGAATCCCTGACAGGGCTCCCCAAAAAAACGATCTGCGCATGTTCTATTGTCTGAGCTCTTGTGTATGTTTGAAATAGGTGTATAATGATCCGTACCACGGGCAAGGGTCACCATCAAGATCCAGCACTTTACTTAACTTTACAATTTCGATGATATACCGTAAAGCCGAAGTCAAAAGATTACCCCTTCAAGAGTACATGAACTGTGATATTTTACTACTAATTGAGTAAACCGAAACCATTTCTTGAATTTATATGTATGCTTTGAGCGTTTAAACCAAGTATTCGTGATGGAGTATTATTGTCATAAAAGAAATCAAAGTGACCAAAGCGACAGAAGGACCTTGTATAATGTCTTCAGCAATCTGTGTGCCACTATTTAAAACTCGCAAGTTCAACGACACTTTAGGTCGCACGATATACACAAACGGTCGTTTTGTTGACCATAGATTTTTTTAGGTTGAACACTTTTTAACCGACTAGTACTTCAATTCGTTCGTTTCTGAACAAGTGGTATGGCGTCAGAATAATGAATAATAGGCAGTGCAGACATGAACTTTGGCATGGTTTGCTTATTGGTTTCAAGGGCCCCACTGCATGCTTAAGATGTTAAACCAATACAAGGAGTTTGTCATAAACATGAATCAACTTCTATGATAGCATAATTCTATTATTACATTAGAAGATCGACCACACTGAACTTATGTCTAGTATATGGACTCTTTAATCAAAAGGAACAGGTACAAAGTGTGATATATGAATGCGTGTGACCAATTTTCAAACGAATCGTCTCCGGCCCTGCATTGTGACTGGAGTTATCAAGATTTCACTTTCAAATTAATAGCAAAACCAAGTTATGATTGTGTCAGATGAAAGCATCATGTCTGGTCATATCGTTGCAAACAAAACTTGTGAAAGAATTCTGTTCCATTTATTGTGCTCCAATTTGGAACTTGATGTGGCTGAATTTCGTAAGACCTGACATTCATGGCAGATTGTTGTGAAACCGTGTCAATGTAGAGCAGATACAACAACACAATGCTAACGACAGAGTGATGTGGGGTTTTCCTGGTACACCGCTCCAGCCTGTAATAATAACTGGACTTCTACTGTTCAAACTACACACTAGATGCAGCTGTAAATTACACACTTCAATAGACGCACAGTTCCATAAAAGCTGGTCTGATTATTATAATATTAACCCTGATTAAAACAGGAGAGAACATAGATAGTACAGAAGTCACAGTAATGTAGTACTGAAGACTGATGCACCTTGTTAAATCTCCAAAGTGCTGACTTTCTCTGTCTTCTTTTGACTGACATCTTCAACAGCTCTGCCAAGTTCGTAGTCTTTTCCCAAGGTCTGTACTGTGGTGTCCGCCAGTGGGGTATTATTTGTCTCGGGCAATAATACTGTTAATAATGTGCAAAGTGCCATAGTGGATCCAACAATAACAAACGGAGGCAATAAATCCTCTCCTCCCTGAAAAGTTGATCAAAAGTAAACATTTCATTAGATTAACAATACCAGTTGCTGTCTCAGTAACCATCAAAAGAAATAATAGGATAGTTTGATCGACTCTTTCACAATGTTAGATTGGCTTCGTCTTTTGGGGGTTCAACCGAAATCAAATTCTGACATTAAGTACCTTCATAACATAGTACAGTTTACAATAGAAAAATCGAATCTGTGAAAAGGATCTTCTCCTTGAACTGGACACCCACTATAATGTACTCAATGTATTACTTTACTGTGCTGTTTCCTTTGCTGTCCTCAGACGTCTCCCTATTGGGACACAAACACTCAGTCCTCTCATTTTTACAAGTTAGTAGCGTTTCTTGAAGCAAACACACACCCCAACACTTACCATGGCAAAAGCATAAGGAGACACGATACTCCCTACACGGGCAGCAGTGTTTGCAGCACCATAACCTAGATTCCTGGAAGAAGGATGAAAGCAAATTACAAATCCGATTTCCAACTAGGTGCAAATGTCGGACCTATTATTACGTAAATTAAACTGGTATGGAACAGTACAGTACAGGGCACGAGGAGCACCATGGGTCACAGATGCATTGACGAGTCCACCTGTTACCCGTGCAATGGTTCTATAATAATGTACGATCCCTATATTTGCCTAGATTTGTATTATTAATCTGTCAGAAACATAGCCATGCTCATGGCCATTGGTTTCACCCAAGCAACATTACACTTCATAATATGAAGCTTTCAAGCTGTTAGAGAATACATCATGCTGCTCCTTGGTACTAGTACCTGATAACTGTCGGGTATGTTTCACTTGTGGAAATCTGAAAGGAGTTCCAGGCTGTCGCTACTCCAAGCCTACAGATCAGAGTCATGGTTGTTGTTGCTGGTCCACGGATGCTGTCACTGGAAGCTGAAATGAGCACACATGGTACCTCAAAGTTCGAGCTTATAGCATTCATGTTGTTAATGTGTTCCCAAATAGCACCATCAACCTTCCATTTCAAGACAGAATGAGACTAGACTCTAAAGTTCTATGTCTATCACAGAATATGTTTGTAACATATTCAGTTATTTGTTATGCCGACATCATTGCATATCAAAACGACTAATACTATTAATACTCTCCAGAGTACGACTAATACTACTAATTTGGACAATCATTGACACGTATAAACCAGAAGAAAATACATAATCGGTCACGAAATTAATGTCCTTTGCCAACTGTTTTACTAATGCGCTCACGTGAATTAAGATACCGTTCAACTATAGAATGCGTACCGACTCTCGATATAATAGCCACTCCAAATGCCCCTATAGTAGCTACTGTAAAAAAACGAGAACGTTGTCCATCTTCTGCCGATTCTGAAACAGTGGGAGCTTTCATTTACTGTCAACGTTTTAAAGAAGAAGTTTCAGAAAGTACATTTATATTTGGTTTGTTCAACTTTGCATTGGAAATATTCCAAAGAATAACATGTATTAACTCTTTAATACTTTACATGGAATATTGTGTGTTTCCTGCTTTTGTGTGAACATTTTTGTTGTTGAAAAATATTAAATCCTGTCAACTCCAAAAGTATTAACATTTCAGAACAGTCTTAATTAGCTTTTTTGCCATACATGTAAACTAACATTTGTTTGTGCATTTACTGTATACCACATAGCAAACAAACCTGCTACTTAGGAAGAACACCATCACTTGTCCAGGTATTGATATGACAGAAACAAGGAACATGTTGAGGTAAAGGTTCCCCATCAGGTTTCCCACGCCGAATGTAATTCCATAAAACGCAAACGACATGCACATCCTGTGGGGAACAATGACAATGAAAAAATGCACTTTGGTTGTAATTATGTTCGAGTTAAGGGAAAGAACGTCTCTGAATGTCAACTCACCAGATCACCTGAATAACCAGGGATTTCCAGCAAATATTCCAGTGACGATAAATGTCAAGGTAGTTGTATTTGTGATCCGATTCCTGCCCTTTCTTTTCCACTTCTGATAGTTTCTTCAGGAGAATGGCAGTGTTGGCTGGCTTTTCTCTGTTGTTGTACCGAGCCATCTGATCTACCACCTTCTCTGCCTCCTCCAGCTTACCATGAACTGCAAGCCACCGCAAACTTTCTGGTGCCACACTATAGAAGGTTAACATTAGTGCCCAAACAATTCATGTACATATCATGTTGATGAAGAACGATCAATAAGAAACGAGAGAAGGCAGGTTACTGTTTTTACTGAACAACATGATTTATTTTTGACAATGTTGATAATATTTGTGGGTTCTATAACACTTTAGAATTATGTTGCTGATCACACTTTGTGTTTACATATATATGAACGGAAGTTACTCACAACCAACAAGCGAAGAAAGGTATATGTAAAGCTGCTAGTATGATATGTTGATCTGACCAGTCCGGACGCAGCCAACACGACATTGCAAACAGGGCCGATCCAACTTGCCAGGTCGGAAATGCAGATGTTATCTGGCGCCAACTCCTTCCTATGAACTCCATGGCATAGGGATAACTTACCACTAAGTTTGAACCAACCATTGCTCCAATAAGAAACCTGTAAAATGTAGATACCTGTTAGAAGTTATCCCATGCAGCTTTGTTTAAATCCATATGTTCATAGCTGCAAACCACAACCACTAACCAAACATGTTTTATAAACGTGTATGTTTTCGGACAATTATGCAAATATATTGTATCATTATATATGAACGTATTTGTTTATAGTCTACCTTAGGACAATAAACATCTGCCATGACACTGAAAATGCAGCCACCAAGTTGAATCCCCCGTGTAACAACAGAGCGATGTAAAAGGTCTTCTTTCTGCCAATAACATCAGCAGACTGTCCGCTTAAGAGGGCTCCTACCAAAACACCTCCCATTTGTACTGATGTGATGAACAACCTGATTCCTGCTCTGTCGCAGACAAAGTCCCACTGAAAAGGGATTTTGAATATCACTAAGTCCGCAAGCTCTAATATCATAGAATACGGTTCAATAACATTGCGATCAATTAACACAAAACATTCACAAAATGTAGGTAACTTATAAGACGTCCTAGATTGTGTGTGGCTAGTCTTCCCGGTACTATCCCATGGGCTTGTCACACCCAATTACTATAGTAATTGTTCTTACTGTCGTTGATACTTGGCATTAAATGGATAACACATGGACTGGTCGTATTAGAGTCAATGCATTGTCTCAGACTGGAGTATGCACACATTCTAGCGTAGGGGTGTAAATGATTATGATATGGAGATCCTATAAATACCATGCTTCATAATATATCGAAAAAAATCTCACCTCATTTACAACTGTGTTTTTCTCCATGCTGTACACATAGGAGCATAGAGAGCTGTTGTCATCAACTGAACAGTGCTTCAATCCTGTGTAATTACTGGCGCCGCTGGTCATTTTGTTAACACACCACCACAGTTGCGGTGTCACCCCAGCGAACGACATCATCAACATTCCCCAGGATGTGATTAGCTTTGGTCCCAAAAACAGAAAAAGTGCCAACAGCTGGAACTTGGACATTCCTCCGACTCCATCTATGATCTCATCAGAATACATCTTCACATGTGCTGCTCAGACTGAAACAAATAATCATCTAAATATAGTATGACTTTACCATCGACCCTTATCTGCTGTTGTATACGATTCAAGAGATCCAGTTAAAATACCAGGTAAATCTGTGCTACCATAAATTCACAAACAGTTTACAATAGTAATTAATATTTATTCACGGCTCATTGTGTGTGTATATATAGAGATGCTGGGTTTTGTAAATACATGCTCATTTTTGTGTGAATAACATTTTGCAATCAACAGACATCATAACATATCATGTGTTCAAGTATCACACCTGCCTGTCTGTGTAATTACATAATGTGACAGAGACCGAATTCGGGCCATAAATCAATGCGTTTTGTTTATGGTGTATAGCCTGATTGGTGTTAAGTTCAAATTGCATGTGGTCAGTGATCGCATTTGTGTATTGAAAATTGTCATTAGCAGACAGGCAGGCAGACAAACAGGTGTCAATAAAACAAGACATTGAGTTTTGTCTGTGACAAAGACATATCTATATCACGGTTAGAAATTCTGTCAACGTTAAATAATGACATTGCTTTTAAGTATCGAACTGAGAAAGTGACTCGGTAAGAAGAACGTGTGGTGAAATAGACAAATGAAATTATATAAACAGTTTATTTACTGTCATAACATATGAAAAGCTCGCGCCTGTGAGATATCAACAAAACATTAGGAAAATAGCTCACACCAAAGCCTTCACCGAGTATTCACCAGACAGCCCGCTTCCAAGTTGCGCGAACCTATTTCACTGCGCACGTGCTATGAGCGCAGCCCAGCTGTTGAAACCAGTTTTCCCCCGAATAGTCGGGGAAAAATTAGTGAATCGTTTGAAATCCGATTCGCGCGTTTTTTTCATCGTGTTACTTTTCAACTTTATAAGTTGAATTTGCATTTTTGATGATTTGTTTTAGTAAGTCAATACCGAAAGGTATCAGAATCTGCAAAGTTGTGTTTTAAGTTGCATGTGACCTTATAGAAATCATTCATATCAATGACGTGTTTCAGAGGTGGTTGGATAGCCTAGTTGTTAAAAGGTTCGCGCGTCACGCAGAAGACCTGGGTCTGATTCCCCACGTGGGTACAATGTGTGAAGCCCATTTCGGGTGTCCCCTGCCATGATATTGCTGGAATATTGCTCAAAGCAGCGTAAAACTAAACTCACCAACGTATCTCAGAAATATAAGGAATTCATTCCGATTCCTATGAAAACGTTACTGGCTTTAAAATGTAAAGAAATGCAATGAAATTTACCTGTGTTGTGCAGGTGTGCCGTCCTTTACCTAGGAGTCAACCGTCATCCACAGCATACATTTAAGTGGTTAAAAAGGAAACGTGTTTATGACGCACCATGGGAGCAAAAAGAATGGCTGGATTGTTTGTTTTTTGTATCACATGTATGTATGAATTTAAGATGATACTTGTTTTTTTGTATCACATGTATGTATGAATTTAAGATGATGTTTGCTTAAGAATCACACATATATATGGCAGACAAACGTGACATGAGGGCACATTGTTCTTCTGTCCTCTTTGTTTACAATCCATAGGTTTAAACTTTGCTTGTGAACGGCTTACGTTTGCGACACGGTCGAATATTTTACCTTCCACGTATACAGGCTTACATGCAGATTTATACCTGAGATATTCAAAATTAGAAAAGACAGCTTCTTACTGTTCCTTCCAAATGTATTACACATTTAAGGTGTTGACGTGGAACAAATACCAAGAGTGTGTCATAAATATAAATTAAATTATATCATCTTGTGCATACTTCTAAGAGGTGAGGTGAGGTGAAATTGGGTTTAATGTCATGCTTGAGAATGTTTCGCTCATATGACGACGTGTGTATGTGTATGTGCGGCTGCTTGTACTAGCCCAGACTGAAGCTGGTTTTATAGTGCTAGCCCACTGAGATACCATGCCGCAGTGAAGCATGATTACCCCACTCAGACACATTATACTGACTCCGAGCCGACCAGTCCTTGGTGTACCCATTAATGCCGAGCGCCCGGCAGGGACCAACAAGGACCAACGAACTGTGGCCACCAAAAACAGTCATGGTTCTGTCAGAAATATCAACATGAATGATAATTTTGAAACTGAAAACACGGTGTTCACGAAATTCATGACTGAAGCCCAACAGGTACCTGAAATCACACTGGTGGCTTGCAAAATGTAGCATCCACAGAAATTCGAGGTTGTCTGTATCATTCAGTTGGTCGTTATCGGGAGAGCATGTAAGCCCCAAGTGACCAAATAACACTCGCTTTTGCAGTGTGGATCTAAGATCAACGGCCATCCATCTACTACATAGCCACAGAACAATTCGATAGTGACATGTGTTAATGAAAATGCGATCTTTTTATGGGTAAAAAAACCCCACCCAAACTGCATTTTATTTTATCTTCGCTTTTGATTAGCAACAATAAAAACAACATATTCAGAACGAGGTTTCTAAAACTCTAAGCATTCCGTGTACTGTAAATATATAGCATTCATCGATGTAATCGATGCACGGAGCTTCACTCCTGTAAGGCGAATCGCCAGTTTGCGGTCAGCGAAGACTGGATGGGATTTTTGTGGGTAATTAAAAACTACAGCTGTGAGTAACGTACAAAATCAATACATGAACGATTGTTTCATCTTTCATAGCAGATTGGACTTCTTCCGCCTTTTTCGTACATATACAAAAGATGGCTAAACGTTTAAAATGACCTGTAAATGAGTTCACCATGTTCCAAAGTGTTTATTCTGCCTAACCTGATGGCAGGAGTCCTGATTCTCAGAATGCCAAGGCTGTTGTTTTATAGGCTTGTGAACTGGCAGAAGTTTAGTTCTGCCGACATAAGGGACTGTTAATTCTGCTTTTTTGAGTTAGCTGGGGAGAGGACATTTTTGTTTGATTGGTGGTGTACTTCGAAGGAGGCCAGTGGTCATAGTTGCAGCAGTTGGTTACAGGCGGCAATGATGGATGATGATTGTTCGCAAACGTATAGGATAGTGTGTTAGACTATCAGATATTCAGGCAGGAATTACCACAGTGTTAGACGCCAGCTATATGGTGGTGGTCTGTATACAATCGAGTCTGGACCAGACAATCAAATGATCAGCAGCATGACCATTGATCTACGCTATCAGGATACGATGACATGAGTCAGCGAGCCTGACCGTCCGAACCTGTTAGTCCCATCTTGCGACAAGCATGTGTTGCTAAAGACCTATTCTTGCCCGGATCTTTACGGGTCTATCAATTGGAAAAGAGTGAGTGAGTGAGTGAATGAGTTAATATTTAACGTCACATCGGCAATAGTTCATCCATATCGTGACGAGAACAAGTTAATCTATATCAATATTAAAATCAATAAATTTAGAACATAAAAACCTGTCATCGAATGAAAGTAAAAAAACTAGTGCATCAGAGATATAAATTTAAACATAGTACGCTGTCATAAAATTAAATCAATATAGACAGTACAAAATAAAAACGGGCTATAGATCACCAACAACTGAAGGTAGATCACCATACTAGGGCCCATGGGGACTTACAGTACTTTGGCTACCTGCATGGACCCTAGCTGGAATTACACCATCCCTTCAGCTGCTGGCGATTATGCTGAGTTTTAGCCGTTATTAAAAACTACAAATATACTACGATTAAAAGTTTGGTAGAGCTAAATTGACTTTGATGTTTTGGGACTTACGTATCCTCTCAGGGGGACAATAATATTACGATACTTTAATCCCCTTTGAGGATACAGCCACTAACAATCGCAGGCGCTAATTCATACTACCGTATTTAAAATAACATTCATTTCTTTACGAAACATATTATTCCACATTTATGTAATAATTCTATTTCCTTTAAAAATTCAATTTTTAAATGATAATTAACATTGTAAAAAAATATCCTAAACTGTTTGGACATTGAAATATTTATCCCTTGTGATGGAAAAATCAGTTGTAAAAGAGAAGACTAGCATATTGAGGAAACAATTAATGGGGTGAACATGTTTGGATGACCATGTTGTTTGTCATGAGACTTGCTCTCACAGAAATATGGAAGAAATCCCAGGTGCGTGTTGTGTTGCTACCAGTGCTTATGCTCAGCATAGATCTGGGATAAAACTGGTATTTCATGATGCATAATCTATTCTTATTGTAGGTGGCGACTAATGAGATCATGTGGTGAGAATCGCTGACTTAGTCGATGTATGACATCGTATCGCTATTGTGTAGATGGATGATTATGGTATCAATTATCACTGGACTAAGGAAAACCAAGTTCTAAGGATAGTCAACTTCTTTATTGCAATGAGTGCGACCTTTCGGTGTAGGTACTAACACAACAAAGCTATCACTGGACTGTTTGGTCTAAACTAGTTATACAGCCGACAAAAGTGCTGAGTGCTGTGTTGAACAAGCGATACAAACTGATAGAGCTATTTTCATTTTCGGACCATGATCTGAATTAGGATGACTGACTCTTTTGTTGATCAATCGTTTGACCTGTATACATTTCTAGAGAAAGTACTCTAAACTTTGACAAATTGACTGGTGAGGGATTAGTTCTCAAGGGGAGAAGACCTGGATCCCAAAGTTCTTTCCAGTAGGGCTGGGGCTTTACGCAGATCTGATAGGGATCCAGTTCGCCGCTATTTTAAGGATAGTGTTTTGATGAGGAATGGGTTCATTCAGATCGACCTGCCCATAGTAAATGGGAAAATATCCAGATTGTACTCTCAAATTAATAGCAAAAACAATTTATGATTTCGGCACATGAAAGGTTCATGCCTGGTTATTTGGGTGTGAACAAAATTTGTGACAGAATTCTGTTCCATTACTTCTGGCCCAATTTGCCAACTTGATGTTGCTGAAATTCCTAAGGCCTGACATTAATGCCAGATTGTTGTCAAACTGCTCAAGAAAAAAGGCATTCCAGAAACTTTTAGCAGGGTCATCATTGATTGTGATTGTCCTTTGCCTAAACCAAGGTCAGGTAATCAATTTGTAAATCTATGTGCTTCCACAATGTTTCTACGGGATATTCACGTACTGAAAATTAGGGCTCAAGTAAAATTCTTAACTCTGTTTGGTTTGCCTAAGACTATAAACTCAGATGAGCGCTCCAATTTCACGGCAGATCTTTCCCGAAAGGCAATGCATCTGTCAGCCATAACTCAGGTTAAATCTTATGCATATTGTCATGAATCTTGGGGTTTCTCAGGATAAGGTCACAGTAATTTACACAAAAACATCAAGAGCGAGATTACATTCTTCTGATGTCATATTAACCATGTCTGTCATTGTCATTGTGACTGTAGTACAAACTCTAATCTGGGGGTCTAAGAATGTTGATGGTTACATGCATACAGACATGAACCACTGCCACTTACCCAATACCAAAAGTAAACGACCGTGTCGACAGAATTGGTCAAACTAAGTACGTCATCAAGTTTGACCGAACAAAGGTGTATTGGTATATTCGCGTGTCTCAATTTGGAGATACCAGATGGAATTAATCATTGCAAGTTTTTGCCGATACCCTTACTCATTCTATGGAGCAGGACTTGAAGAGGGTCCATGCCTTCTTCTGAAGACTCACTCAGGAAGACTTCATACATTGTTTAAGTTGGTAAGTTTATCTTTGATACATCAGAGGTCACTGTAATGTAGTATTGAAGACTGATGCACCTTGTTAAATCTCCAAGGTGCTGACTTTCGCTGTCTTCTCTTGACTGACATCTTCAACAGCTCTGCCAAGCTCGAAGTCTTTTCCCAAGGTCTTTACTGTGGTGTCCGCAAGTGGGATATTATTTGTCTCGGGCAATAATACTGTTAATAATGTACAAAGCACCATAGTGGATCCAACAATAACAAACGGAGGCAATAAATCCTCTCCTCCCTGAAAAGTTGATCGAATGTTAACATATCATTAGATAAACAATACCAGTCGCTGTCTCACACAACCACCAAAAGAAGTATGAGTATATTGGGTAGTTTGATCGACTCTTTCACAACATTAGATTGGATTCGTATTTGGGTGTTCATACGAAATATAATTTTAACATTAAGTATCCCACAAAATACTTCGAATCTGTAGATATGATATATTTCTTACACTGGACACCCATAGATATTTACGCAGATTATTTACTTCACTGACTGCTTAGACTTTAACAGTTGTAGGGGTGCTTAAGCCATCTGACGTTTCCCTTTTGGGACACAAACATTTAGTCCTCTCCCTCTTACAATTTCGTTGTGTTTCATGCAGCAAACACACTCCCCAACACTTACCATGGCAAATGCATAAGGAGACACGATACTCCCTACACGGGCAGCAGTGTTTGCAGCGCCATAACCCAGGTTCCTGGAAGAAGGATGAAAGGTAATCACAAATCCGCAAGAGCAAATGTTGGTCTATTGTTATGTAAATTACATTGGCATGACTTAATAAAGTAGAGATGACGAAGGACAACATGAGTCAGATATACAGTGACGTGCACACCTGTTTTCCGTGCAATGGTTCTGTCATCATGGTACGATCCCATGGTACGATCCCTGCCCAGATTATGATTACTGATCTGTCCAAAACAGACCCGTGTTCATGACCATTGGTTTCACCCAGACATCATTACACTTCATTACACAAAGCTATCAAGCTGTTAGAGAATAATATCCTTGTCATTCGAGCTTATCTCACTGACCCTGTGCTACTAGTACCTGATAACTGTCGGGTATGTTTCACTTGTGGTCATCGTAAAGGAGTTCCAGGCTGTCGCTACTCCAAACCTACAGATCAGAGTCATAGTTGTTGTTGCTGGTCCACGGATGCTGTCACTGGAAGCTGAAATGAGCACACATGGTACCTCAAAGTTCGAGCTTATAGTATTCATGTTGTTAATGTGTTCCCAAATAGCACCATCAACTTTCGACTTCAAGAAAGGTTGAGACGAAGCTCTGGCAGTGTCCTCCCTTAGTAAACGTTTCTGATCATTACGCATTTAAGTCGTCAAAAGAGTACGAAATGGCAAGACACTGAACATTCAATCAAAATACACATACATAATTAGCAAATACCTTCATTACAGGAGTATACAAGGAAAGCGTTGTTATTACAATATACGCATGACCATGTGTTAACGATACGACCCTTTCTCCTCGGTTGACTGCGTTTTAATTACTAATATAATTAATTTTGAGATTCCATGACATGTATAGAACCAAGGAAATTATAAAATATATATGATGAAACGAATATCTTTTGCCAATCTATTACCAATGCACTCATGCAAATTAAGATACCGTTGAACTATAGAATGCGTACCGACTCTCGATATAACAGCCACTCCAAATGCCCCTATTGTAGCTACAGTGAAAAACGAGAACGTTGTCCATCTTCTGCCGATTCTGAAAGTGTAAGAACTTCATTCACTATATATTTTATGACTATTTTAAAGAAATAGAGATATCAGTATGTACATTTATATTTCGTTTGTTCAACGTTGCACTTGATAATATTCCAAATAAACCTGGGATACATTCATGGCTAACCGCTCAATATCACTGTAGTCTTTGCTGATGTATTGTACATGACAGGCTTATTACTTCTTTGTTCTTGACATGAAATAGTTTGTGATTTCCGATTTTGTGTAAAGATTTTAGGATTCTGAAACAATAATATTAAATGATGAAAACTCCAAAAGTATTAACCTTTTGCAACATTGACATTTGACGTATTTGACACAAATGTATTGAACGTATATAGTAAATGTACAAACAAACCTGCTACTTAGGAAGAACACCATCACCTGTCCAGGTAATGATATGACAGAAACAAGGAATATGTTGAGGTAAAGGTTCCCCATCAGGTTTCCCACGCCGAATGTAATTCCATAAAACGCGAAGGACATGCACATCCTGTGGGGAACAATGGAAATAAACAAACATGCATTTGGGTTGTAATTATGTTCGAGTTAAGGAAAAGAACGTCTCTGAATGTCAACTCACCAGATCACCTGAATAACCAGGGATTTCCAGCAAATATTCCAGTGACGATAGATGTCAAGATAGTTATATTTGTGATCCGATTCCTGCCCTTTCTTTTCCACTTCTGATAGTTTCTTCAGGAGAATGGCAGTGTTGGCTGGCTTCTCTCTGTTGTTGTACCGAGCCATCTGATCTACCACCTTCTCTGCATCCTCCAGCTTACCATGAACTGCAAGCCACCGCAAACTTTCTGGTGCAACACTATGGCAGGTTAAGGGTAGTGTCAGACAATTCATATATAGATCATGTTGATGAAGAACGATCAATAAGAAACGACATATGGTAACTTACATGTATTCATCAATTCAAGTAGCTTAGTGCTTTTACTGAACAATATAAGTTACCTTTGACAACGTTGATAATATTGCAGGATGTTTACATGTCTATGAACGGAAATAACTCACAACCAACAAGCGAAGAAAGGGATATGTAAAGCTGCTAGTATGATATGTTGATCTGACCAGTCCGGACGTAGCCAACACGACATTGCAAACAGGGCCGATCCAATTTGCCAGGTCGGACATGCAGATGTTACCTGGCGCCAACTCCTTCCTATGAACTCCATGGCATAGGGATAACTCACCACTAAGTTTGAACCAACCATTGCTCCAATAAGAAACCTGTAAAATATACATGATACTCGATAGTTTTGTGCGATACAGTTTTATTAGTAGCCACACAAAAAGAAAAACGAAGCAAATGTGTGTTACATATTTGTATATTTTCGTTTAATGATGTAAAATTGTTAACGCAATTTTTATAGTCTACCTTAGCACAATAAACATCTGCCATGATACTGAAAATGCAGCCACCAAGTTGAATCCTCCGTGTAACAACAGAGCGATGTAAAAGGTCTTCTTTCTGCCAATAACATCAGCAGACTGTCCGCTTAAGAGGGCTCCTACCAACACACCTCCCATTTGTACAGACGTAATGAACAGCCTGATTCCTGCTCTGTCGCAGACAAAGTCCCACTGAAAAGAAATTTGCACAAAAAGTTTACAATATTCAGATAACTTATAATACCTTCTCATTTCTGTGTGGAATAACGTAATCTCGGTTCGGACACCTTAGCTCGTCATTGATAAATGGTAACTGTTATTGCCTTCGCTGTCACTTTCAATATAGGGGATAACGCTGGGACATGGCTCCGTCAGAAGTGCAGCTACCGTGAACAAGACATGATACCAAATGTCATCTAAAACAATTTCAACGCTCTTTACACAACTGCATCTTCACGACATCTTCTTGGCGGCCATCTTTGTTTACTTTAAGAAAATTCTTCGTGCTTAAGTAACCCATGGAGGATTCTTAAGTTAAGAAAAAATCAAGCACTAAGAGGTTTGATGAATATTAAAAATCTTAGTTTTAGATAGGTTGCTATGGAAACTAAGAATTCTTACCAGACTTAAGAATTCTTAAGGCTTAAGATTATTCTAAGAAATTTAGTGAATCTGGCCCCTGTATCTATATCCCACGTAGTACTACGCGAAAAGGGAGCGCACTACAAACAAACAACTTTCATAAATCGTGCTAGTAATAAATAATGACACTCAAATGGTGTGTCGGTGCGCAATGCTGTCTTGTGAATGAGTTGATATTAATTTCTGGCTAACTGTTTTGCCACTTTAATTGTAAAAGAAATGAAGGATCAATGGGTTATCTGTAACCGTGTTTTGAAAGACACGTGGAACAATATGTCTGTCTTTTTTGAGAAAATATACGTCATCCAGTGGATGCTCCTTCATTTTAGTTTGTTACAAAAAGCAATGACGCAGCGACCATGCGCGATTGTGAATTGTTATGAGATGGAGATGGAGGCGCGTTGTGTATCCTACAAATACCTCACTTGATATATTTTGGGAAATTCTCACCTCATTTACAACTGTGTTTTTCTCCGTGCTGTACACAAAAGAACACGAAGTGCCATTGTCACCAACTGAGCACTGCTTCAATCCTGTGTAATTACTGGCGCCGCTGGTCATTTCGTTCACACACCACCACAGTTGCGGTGTCACCCCAGCGAAAGACATCATCAACATTCCCCAGGACGTGACCAGTCTTGGTCCCATAAACAGAAATAGTATCAGGAACTGGAACTTGGACATTCCTCCCACTCCATCGATGATCTCATCAGAATACATCTTCACAAGTGCTGATCAAACTGGAATAAAACACATATAATAATACAGTTGAAGCATATACCATCCATTGTCATAGCCCTTTCTATTGAAGTATATGATACATATACCATACATGGTTACCACGCTTAAAATATCACGTAAATCTGCCCTGCCGCGAGTTCACATACAGCTTTCATCTTCTGGAGTGAGTGAGTGAATGAGTTAAAGCTTAAAGTCACATAGGCATTATGACAGTCACATCGTGTCTATGTGTGTTGTAAACATGTATATCAAAATGAGATTAGACAATATAAATATATGTCGACAAAGGACATAAAAAATAACTAGACTATCATAGATAAGGACGTAAAACTAGCAATTTATACCCGTGACGGTCCGGGTCAATCGATGCTCATGCTGTTGATCACTGGTTTGTCTGGTCCGGCTCGATTATTTACAGACCGCCGCCATATAGCTGGAATATTGCAGAGTGCGGCGTAAAACTAAATTTTATTCACTCACTCACTTAAATACCATTGGAGATTTTATGCCATTAGAAGAACAGCGGTTTGAATAATAGGTCGATTCAGTGGTGACTATTCATTTTTCCACAAGTGACACCTACAAAGACACGAACGTTTCCGTGTGTCTGATGTCATCGATATTAACAGAAAATATCAGAACAATATTTTCGACGATATACATTAAACGGGCCAAAAACACATGACAACACAAGCAGCGTTTCTCCTCAGACATTTATGTATGTGTATTTAGAAAGTAGTATTTACGGGATGCATTACAGTAAATTAATTGATCATGACTCTCAACCAACCTACATCGTTTTACTTGAAACACTTTTAACTTTTAACATATATTTGAGTGTTTATTTTGTCCCATTATTGTGCTGACACACGAATAAAATAAAAAAAGCCATAGAAATGATCCATTATCCTCCATGTTTCATGTTAGTATGAATTAATCAAGAGTTTACACAGTTCAGAAACAAAACAAACCCACTTTGATGTTGTTCATGCCTAATCATATTTACTCTCAATATGTGCACCGCGCAATCGAAAAAAAGCAAAGTGTCGATGCAGTAATCCATGGATGTTTTGCATACATACGAAAGGGATGTAGTTAATGCATGTAGTAAAATCTAGACTATCACATAAGTTGTTAAAAACCATAAGAAATGTCTATCCATAATTAATAATGCTGTATATACTGAACCACAAAAGAAACGTCGCCTTTCAAAACCAAATGCACAAGTTTGTTCTTACAAGGTGGTAGTTTTGTTATGATTGTATCGTTTTGTTACCATGCTTTTCAATCCAAATTGACAGTTATTACAATCATCAGCATATCCACCAAACGCACCGAAAAATGCAGACATGGTGAAAGGTTCCGTATTACATTCGTGAAAATGAAAATGCACGTGCGTGTTGTGACAACCCTATCAATGAAAGCGAGTCATTACGTCGCCTGGAATCATTTTTATTTCAACACAATCACCATGCAATAAGAGGAACCAAGTCTTGGAACGATTGCAAGTTAGTCCGACTGCACGGACGGTAGCCAAGTATTTTAATGTTCATGTTAGGACAATCTACCGACTGCAGGAGTGGTATCAGCTCACTAACAGCATTCCAGACCGTCCACGCAGTGGGCGACCTTCAGTAACATCACAACATCAAGACCGACAGATTGTGCGCAACCATCTGCAGATCACTTCCCCAGAGCGACGGAAACAGCATGCAAGACCTTCCGGACTAACAACAGACCCATCAGGGCCGATACAACTTTACGTCGACGTTTGCGCGGAAAAAACCCTCTGCTGTCACAGACCACATCGTAGTCCTGTCCTCACCGCTCGTCACCGCCAAAACTGATTGCAATGAGCAACTCAGCATCGAAATTAGCGTTATCGACAATGGAGAACTGTGCTTGTGCCTCACGAAAGCCGATATTGTGTTTCGACAGTCGATGGCAGAGTGGGAGTATGGTGATGGCGTGGGGAACTGTTTTCCAATGAGTGTACTGTTGAAAGAGACTCATGAGTGGTTCAAGCATCATGGTTCGGGGTGCAATCAGTCTGAACCAGTTAGTTGACACCGTTGTGTCCAAGTATGGAGGTCCAGGATGCGGAAATGACGTGACAACTGCTCGCGATATTGATTAAGTCATAAGACCCCTCGTTGTACCACACTTTGGACGTTACAGAAATCACATCTTCCAGCAAGACAGCGCTCGTGCCAGAGCAACATTGGACTTCCTAATTGGACATCGTGGCATCCAAACCCTACAATAGCCTGCAGTCCGGATTTAAATCCAGTAGAACACCTTTTGGACGCGATTCAAAGAAGACTGAATGACCTCCAACCAATGCCGACAACTGCGGCTGGACTCAACTGGCATTGCGCAGAGTACGAGCCCAAGTGCCCCATGGCCTTCATCAAGCGGTTAATTCATTCCATGTACAGACGATGCAACGCGTTCATCGATGTCCATGGACACCACACACATTACTGACTTTGGATTATCTTCATGGTACCATTTTATGGCGATTTTGTTTGCGTGAACTCTAAATGTGATTACCGAAAATGAGTCAACCATAATTGCCAAGTTATCGCTATCGGTGCGACATTTCTTTTATGGTTCACTAGAACACGGGCTAAAGATCGCCAGCAACTAAAGTCAGATCACTTTACTATCGACCATGAGGACCTGCATTGACCTCAGCAAGACCTCTCTAGAAGCGGGCGATTATCAGTATATTTAACCTAACATAAATACAAATAATCTACGATTAATATATTGGCAATGATAAACATACCTTGAACGATGTGGCCTAACGGACCTGTCCCGGAGAACATATATTTTACACTACTTAATCCTACATTGAGGGTAGTCACAAACAGTCATAGTTATTTAATCATTTGAACCAATTTGTAGCACACACGAGACGATAAATGTCATACTTGTCACCGATTCTTGTGCGTAGTATTCATCTTTAAATTATGAGTGAGTGAGTGAGTGAGGTTAGTTTTACGCCGCACTCAGCAATATTCCAGCTATATTGCGGCGGTCTGTAAATAATCGAGTCTGGACCAGACAATCCAGTGATCAACAGCATGAGCATCGATCTGCGCAAATGGGAATCGATGACATGTGTCAACCAAGTCAGCGAAACTGACCACCCGATCCCGTTAGTCGCCTCTTACGACAAGACAGTCGCCTTTTTATGGCAAGCACATGGGTTGCTGAAGACCTATTCTACCCCGGATCTTCACGGGTCCTCTAAATTATGAAGCTGAATGAAAAAAGAAAATACACTTCTCATGTAATATATTTCACTGATGTGATTCTAAAGTAATTCTTTTATAGATTAGGCTAATAGCCCATTTCAGCACTGTCCCATAGAAAAGTAAGGTACTTTGACAACGGCGTCGTTAATTTCAACTTTTGAAATATAATAAATATACACCGGATACACCGCTTTATGAAAACCAAAATATTCATTCTGAAAACATGCTGCATGTTTCATAAATTACTTTAACATGAAATCTGAACTTTCCGACATTACATCTTTTGTAGGTCGGTAATGAGACACCGACTTTTAACATCACACATATTACTAATTAGTTGGAATATAGACATTACTGATTTCATCTTTTATCACCCAGTCATATCAAAAGAAGACAAGAGATGATACTGTTATGCTGGCTGTCGGTATGATATGTGTCTGTGTGGGGTTTACACAATTATTGATCATTTATAAAAAGAACAAAGTCCGAATAAGAACAATAAATCACATACACGCGTCCATGAACGTCGCTGATTTCTTGCATAAAAATAGGTTATATTGTGTTCCATATATCACATCACTCATCATATCTAGAATATAATGACAACTTATCTAAATCCGGTTCTTATGAAGACCATACTAGTTTGAAAATGTACAGTGAGTGAGTGAGTTTGGTTTCACGCCACTTTAAACAATATTCCCGCAATATCACGGCAGGGTACACCAGAAATGGGCTTCACACGCTGTACCCACGTGGGGAATCGGCGAGAAGAGCGAACGTTTTAACCACTTGGCTACCTCACCGACCCCGATGTGTTGTGCATATATGTAGTCGTTCACCTATTTCGATCACTCAATGAGTCAACAAACATCTATCGCATACACGTAAGATTTTTAGAGGAAAAAATTACTTACCTCGGAACAGCAAGAGTGGCTGAATTGTTTTTCTGCAGAACATGTATGCATGAACTGAAGTTAATACACCTTATGACGCCCGTATTTGCAGAGAGTTTTGGGTATGTAAATGTGTAAAGTGAATGCGAACAACAAGTACTTGGAAACATGTTTGCATGGCATGCTTGAATGACACATACGTACATCAGACGACACGAGGGCATGTGAGGAGACTATGTTCTGCTGGCCTCTTTGTTTACAATGTATCAAGTTTAAAGGTGCATGTGAACGGTGTACGTTTGTGTCAAGGTCGTGTATTTTATCCCACCTGGAATCCCTGACAATATATCTCAAACATGATCAACAACGGCAGACAATATGACAAATGTGACAATAATATGTATCGGTACCACAGGAAGGCGTCACACCCCGAGATCCATCAGTTGACGTATCTCCGCTTCGAATGATCTGAATTATTCGGATTTGAAATATGCAGTGAAGTCAAATTGAAATGAAAATAACATATACCCTAATCGATGTATATAAACTGGGGTATCTTAGACTTCAATAACGGAGACCATTACTTATAATTTTAATTTTACATTGAGCATCCTAGTGAACGGGTGCAGGAAATTCATGAACGATTGTGCTGTATAGATTTTGTAAAGTTTGACCGACTGTTCGTGTCTCAATAAATGGTATGAAGTCAGAATGAATAAATAGTTGTTAGTACATACATACACGTTGTCATCGTTTGCCTAATCGTTTTATGGGCCCCACTACAGGTTGCTACATCTTTCAGTGTATAATGTATGTCGAATGAATTATGATTTGAGAATTCATAACTAAAATCTAAGCATCTGTAACGTGTTGTAAATACTGGGGACAACCAGTGATTACTCTTTATTACTCTCAAACACTTTTCGACTATGAAATGTGGCGGCGTCATTGTAGAATCGAGCTATAGTTTCCGCGCATACACGGCTAGCTTACATGCAGATTAACACCTGAGAACTGCAAACTTAGAAAAGAAGCTGAACGTTCGTTTCCAATTCAGTACACGCACAAGATGTTGATATGGAACAAATACCAAGACCCATAAATAGGAATCAAAACGATACGATCTCGTATGTATTTCTATAATTACAATAAACGATCGATTGCATTTGCACCTGCGTTTTAGTACATGGACTCTTGAATCAAAAGAGCAGAACTGATGGAATGTGTGATGTAAGGATGTGTGTAATGCATTTTAAGCGAGAGTATACCTGGAATCAAAAGAGTCCATCAGATTTCAGGTTATTATGAGCAATGATGATGATACCACGTGGCCTCGTTTATCCTGACCAAGCAGTTTTACTTGTGTAAGGGAAGCTAGCTAATGCCTTTGATTCACATTAACCCGTGAAGATCCGGGTTCAAATTGATCTCCAGTAATTCATGCTTGCCGTAAGAGGCGACTAACGGGGTCGGGTGATCAGGTTCGCTGACATGGTTGACGCGTCATCTTATCCTAGTTGCATGGATTGTTGCTCATGCTGTTGATCACTGGATTGTCTGGCCCAGACTCAATTATTTAAAGACCGCCACCATATAGCTGGAATATTGCGGTGTAAATATCATTTGTATATCTACAGATCTAAGAGAAGACAAGGATGAACTTTGAGATCATACACTCACTCACTCACTCACTCACTCACTCACTCACTCACTCACTCACTCACTCACTCACTCACTCACTCACTCACTCACTCACTCACTCACTCACTCACTCACTCACTTCCTTGTTTGTTTGTTTGTTTATGTCAGATCTTGCTCTCCTAAGGACTGATTCATGGTTAAGCTTTTAGTGTCAACTTGCGCAGCAACACGTAACAGAAGGCAATACACGCAAATTTGACGTCTTTACTGACAAAGTCGCTTTCTGTTGTTAGTTGGCGAAAGTGTAACCCATAGATAAGCCGACCAGTGTCTACGGTAACGGACAGTAAGTTGTCCAATCCGGACAAATGAGTCGGTCCCATGCCAGTCCATAATAGACAGATTCCATTGTATATTGGTTAAACCTGCTGGAATCAGTGGGAGTTAATTATCTCTGCAGTCTCTAATGAATGAACGACCTCGGTGTGGCTAGATCAGGGAAAATGGGAGCTGTGGAACTATCCTAAATAAATATTATCCGATGGACACTAAGAAATAGACGAACACGCCTGAAAAGCTATTTAGCATTCAAGACGAACATCATGTGGGCCGAAAATGAAAATTCCACTTTCAAATTAAACAAATACTTGTTCAACGCAGGTCCTTGACTTCAAACAATACAAAAATACTTGATCTTAAACTGACAGTTATTCTCTATTTATTCTGAGTTATTCTCAGATTACTAGAAAAGGCGGGAGGTGTTACTTAGATATATTGCCAAGCGAAACCAACCCCACACAGCATCAGAGCGAACCATTAAGGTTCATGTACCGGCGATGGCTACACCCGGTTGTGATAAACTATTTGAGCAAGACTGACTAACTGAGTTTAGTTTTACTTCTCTTTTAGCAATATTCCAGCAATATCACGGCGGGGAACACCGGAAATGGGCTTCACACATTGTACCCATGTGGGCAATCGAACCTGGGTCTTCGGCGTGACGAGCGAACGCTTTAACCACTGGGCTACCCTACAGCCCGCTCTAGCAAGAACTGAGGCTTACCGAAAATACACTATTGAATATTAATTTGTCCTATTTACATTTACAGTCACTACTTCTGTGAGGTATCTTTGGGTGTAGAAAGGAGGGTACTGGAAATTACTATCGGGACAACCTATTGAGTGTTTGCATTTAAGGATATGATGGCAACATGTTTGACGTCAGCGTCACTTTGCCTGATTGAAGTTGGGCAGGCACTGCACGAGGAGTGGAATAAGTGTTTTGGGAGATTCACACCAAGTAGTCCGCTTCGGGTTGACGGATGTTGGACACGTTGTGGTGGTACCGGTATTACGGACTAATGTACACGAAACGTCAACAATTTTACGCGTTGCCCTATCGTTCTCCGGTAACGTAACATTAATGGAGACATAACATTATTGTCATAATTCACTAACAGTTGTATTGTGCTACCATTTCATTTATTAAAATCATACTGCTATTACCAGAAGCCAATGTACCCTTCAATATTAAAAGTATATATCTACTAGTAAATCTACTAATCCCAACGAATCTGTATGATTTAGGATATAAGCTCCCTTAATGTCCCAACACTGTAGGTCAAAGCGTTTCGTTGTAATCATACGCAAAAATAAAATAACTCTTTAAGTCAGCTCCCTGGTTACAATCGCCACTCTTTGATTAAACAAAAGTACATTGTGCAGCAGAACCGCAGTAACCTCCAGTATTGATGACTGATTTACAGTATCAAATCTCTAATGAACTGTCTTTAGCTTTCTTTCCTTCAACATCTCCATCAATCGTGTAGCGTCTTCCCGACGTCCTGTCTGTGGTGTCAGCCAGTACGGTATTATTCGTCTCAGGCAACAATAATGTTAATAGTGTACAGACTACCATAGTGGATCCGACAATAACGAATGGGGGCAAAAGGTCTTCACCTCCCTGAAAAGTTACAGAACCTAAGATCAGATGTGAACATTTCATTCGATAATGTTTTTAATGTGAAGAATTATGCATAGTCAATGAATTTGTTAATATTTCATTTGGGTTGATTTGACATTTAACACCAACAATATTATACTTCTGACAAAGCATCCAGCTGCAATATCGATATTGAGAAACTATGTGATGTAAAGTGAGTGAGTGTGTGAGTGAGGTTAGTTTTACGCTGCACTCAGCAATATTCCAGCTATATGGTGGCGGTCTGTAAATAATCAAGTCTGGACCAGACAATCCAGTGATCAACAGCATAAGCATCGATCTGCGCAATTGGGAACCGATGATATGTGTCAACCAAGTCAACGAGCCTGATCCCGCAAGTCGCCTCTTACGACAAGCATGGGTTACTGAAGGCCAATTCTAACCCAGACCGTCACGGGTTATGTGATGTAGAGACTTGAATAACGTAAAAAATACACGTTAATATAATAAATGTTGTGTCATCGATAACATAGAGGTTGTAAATATGATATACTACTAACAATTGTTATCGACGGGAAAATAATACACTCTTTCAGTTCTTAGTATCTCTTAGTATACTCACTCAATATTTAGATCATAGTACCACTCACCATGGCAAATGCATAAGGAGACACGATACTCCCTACACGGGCAGCAGTGTTTGCAGCACCATAACCCAGATTCCTGGAAGAAGAATAAACCGCAGTTTCAAGTGAGAGCAACAGTCGGACGTGTTTGCAATAATACTGGCACGTGACAGGGTGGAATTGGAGTTACAGGGGCCATGGGGCCCGATCCACTAAACACTCGTAAACCTATGATAAACATAGAGTTAGGACAGGTTGTAACGTTATGAACCCTTTGTGAAATGGGACTCACATACCCAAGAAGCCATAATTCGCAGTGAAGGATGCACCTCTTACACATGTAGTTGTTCTCTTGGCATGGCTCAAGTCCCATATCTGTCCATCATCACGTGTTTAACCCGACCACCATTACTGTCAAAAACCCTGGTTACTCAACAGTTCGCTCTCGCTAAGGTATATCTAGTACCTGATAACTGTCGGGTATGTTTCACTCGTAGTCATCTGAAAGGAGTTCCAGGCTGTCGCTACTCCAAGCCTACAGATCAGAGCCATTGTCGTTGTTGCTGGTCCACGGATGCTGTCACTGGAAACTGGCAGTGAACCACCATTTGTAGAAAATTCATGTAGCCGGCATGATCCCAGATCTGAACGTTTACTTTGGATTTTCCAGAGGACGTATGGCACAACTGGAAAAATCTGCCTTTGTCCACTCTAAGTAAGTGTCAGTAACCAGCAACGCTAATGTTGCATACTCGTCATATGTGTCAGGATAATCAAAACTGATAAAGAATTGGCTTTAAGCAATCTGTTCAAAACACAATAAACACGCATGCACCACCAATACCTTCGTTCTGACGATAAAACCAGAAAAACATTAATTGTAGCAGTCGCGAAATTTCTGCAATTTTCTGTGATTTTATATTTAGTAAATGTAACTCGCGTTCACTGACAGAAACCAAACTACAAACGAATACATGCATAGATATTTGTAAAATACTCTTGAATTATGGAATGCTCACCGACTCTTGATACAATAACCACTCCAAATGCACCAACAGTAGCTACAGTGAAAAACAAGAATGTTGTCCATCGCCTTCCGATTCTGAAAGATTAAGAACTTCACTGAAAACATCAATACTGTTTGTTGCTTAAAGCCGCCTTCAGCAATATTCCTGATTCGTGAGTGCGTGTTGTTTCAGAGGAATCATATAAACATTTATTTGAAATGAATAATAGTATATGCTAGAAACTATTAACGTACAACACCACTGTTGATTTACGTTTTTGAATATGCAAACTAGCATTTGTTTTTGGTATGGTATGGTATGCTGTGAATGTACAAACAAACCTGCTACTTAGGAAGAACACCATGACTGTTCCAGGTACAGCTATGACAGAAACCAGGAACATGTTGAGGTAAAGGTTCCCCATCAGGTTTCCCACGCCGAATGTAATTCCATAAAACGAAAACGACATGCACATCCTGTGGGGAACAATGGAAATAAACAAACATGCATTTGGGTTGTAATTATGTCCGAGTTAAGGGAAAGAACGTCTCTGAATGACAACTCACCAGATCACCTGAATAACCAGGGATTTCCAGCATATATTCCAGTGACGATAGATGTCAAGATAGTTGTATTTGTGATCAGATTCTTTTCCCCTTTTCTCTTCTTCTGATAGTTTCTTCAGGAGAATGGCAGTATTGGCTGGCTTCTCTCTTTTGTTGTACTGAGCCATCTGATCTACCACCTTCTCTGCCTCTTCCAGCTTACCATGAACTGCAAGCCACCGCAAACTTTCTGGTGCAACACTATGGAAGGTTAAAGGGGGTGTCAAATAATTCATATATGGATTATGTTTATTATGAAAGATCAAATCCATCAGAAATGAAACGAGATAAATTACATGCATTGATCAATCCTGGAAGGTAACCGTTTCTACAGAACGATAACATTTATTTTCAACGGTATATGTATCAACAGATAAAACAAGCGAAGAATTAAACCAAGTCATAAATAGATGATTATTCATCAATACACCAATAGTTATGACAAAACTTACAATAACAATATATGTATTGATCAACGATGATAGCCATCGTTATTACCTCATTTAATATGGACATAATTTTGTCAATAAACGTCATTGTTACCCTGGGAGGTTACATGTAAAGCAATGCGAATCACTCACAACCAACAGGCCAAGAAAGGGATATGTAAAGCTGCTAGTATGATATGTAGATCTGACCAGTCCGGACGCAGCCAACACGACATTGCAAACAGAGCCGATCCAACTTGCCAGAACGGAACAACAGATGTTATCTGGCGCCAACTCTTTCCTATGAACTCCATTGTGTATGGATAGCTCACCACTAAGTTTGAACCAACCATTGCTCCAATCAGAAATCTGTAAAATATACATATGCTTTATGCGATACCATTTTGTTTAGTGGCATATGTTAGTGGTAAATCGAACCAAATGTGTGTTAGATACTTGTATTTTTTCGTTTAACGGTGTAAAACGATTAATGTATTTGTTTATAGTCTACCTTAGCACAATAAACATCTGCCATGATACTGAAAATGCAGCCACCAAGTTGAATCCTCCGTGTAACAGCAGAGCGATGTAAAAGGTCTTCTTTCTGCCAATAACATCAGCAGACTGGCCGCTTATGATGGCTCCTAGCAAAACACCTCCCATTTGTACTGATGTGATGAACAACCTGATTCCTGCCCTGTCGCAGACAAAGTCCCACTGAAACGTAATTTTGAATGTCACTATGAAGCAAACATGGTTCAGTAGGACTTCTTCCTACATCAAACACCACCTTCAATTAAGATGTTACATTCTATTTCAAACTATTAAAATGTAAAGTCACTTCGGCAGTATTTCAGACTAAGAAAGTTGTAAATTTATAAAAGAATAAAAACAAAGTTTGCTAATATACTTCCCTGTCTGCAAAGGACAGTAAAACAACTAGATTGTTCAATATAAGTTTAAAACTATTAACTAAATCTAATATTTTGACTATAAAGGACAATATACAATATAAAAACAGGCTATAGATTGCCAACAACTGAAGGTAGCTCACCATACTATGGACCATAGGGGCTTAGAGTACATTTGCTTCTTGCATGGACTTTAGCTGGATTTACACCATCCCTTCAGCCGTTAGCAATTTAGACAAATGTAGCCATACATTTAAAAGAGACATAGTGTGCGATTAAAAAGGGGAAAGTTTTAATTTACTTTTAATGTTATGGGACTTACGTACCCTCTCAGGAGGGACAATACTTTTACAGTACTTTAAGCCCCTTTGAGGATACAGCCACTAACAATCTAAGTTTACTTATTTAAACTTCCAATCATAAAATATTTATCTATTTTATATGAAACAGACGTACCATACTATTTGTATGAAATGTGATTGAATAAATTCAACATTTGGCCTTTACATTTACTGGTTTCGAAGTTTGTTAATCGACAAAGGATACCGGAAATAGATTTATTCATTGTTACAAAATACTTCACAGATATTCAGATAAGATGCAAGGTTCATTTGATAACAAGTCCGTCTGTCTCGAAATAGTGTAGAAAATAGTGGGATAAGGACTTGATATGAGACGCAAATCTTTGGTGTATACTTTCGAAACAAATCTAAGACAGTGCTCACATAATTTCCTTACCTCAGTTACAACAGTATTTTTCTCCGTGCTGTACACAAAAGAACACGAAGTGCTATTGTCACCAACTGAGCACTGCTTCAATCCTGTGTAATTACTGGCGCCGCTGGTCATTTCGTTCACACACCACCACAGTTGCGGTGTCACCCCAGCGAAAGTCATCATACTTTGATTGCATTTTTCTTGCTTTTAACGCCGCACTCATCAATATATTGCTCAATAATGGAGGGACTGACATCATGAGCGTTGATCTTTGCCTTTCTGATATTACGTATGTGCATATTGATGGATTTTGACAGAATAAGCTACGAAACGTATATTTAGCTGTTTCCAAGTATAGCGTAATTCTAACTTGTTGTTCAAGAAGAACACGGCCATTTCGCTGGGCAAAGAGATCACCGATACGAGGAACATGTTGACATATAGGTTCCCAGTCAAGCGCCCAACGCCGAAGGAGATGCCATAGTATACGAAGGCCACTAGTAACCTGCAGCAAACAAGGCACATTGATCAAAGGACACAAACAGCAAAATGAAAGACATTAAATATTTGGTTATTTGAAATCATCCATCTTTCAGATTATGTTAGGCTGTTGAATGTTTTTGTTTGGTGTGCAATAACATTTGACTAATCCGAAAATATCATGTTGTTTAAGATGACCCGCATCTATATTATACCTACATGACCTGTCAATAATCAAACCTAGAACATTGACAAAGTCTAGTGTCTGATGTCATGAGCAAAGATACACACCAACGATGACGTTGGTCACTGAACCGGATCATCTGATCAAGTAGGTAAGTTCTTACAACATGTTATAAGGATCGAAATCCGAAGACCATATACGAGTCATGCAGATGCGATTATTATCAGAAATATTGCTGAGTTCGTTTTTTTAATCTGGAAAAACCAAGACATTTTGTTTGAAAATTTCTTTGCGGTGTCGTATCAGTTATATTAATGATAACCCCTTCCTACATAGTTTTGCTTGAATAAAGCTGCACATATTGAATTATATAGAATGATAAATACATCTCACCATATAACTTGGTGAACAATAGATTTCCTGAACATACTCCAACCACGATAGATATCCAAATAGCTGTATTTACGGTCGGAGTCGCCGCCTCTCCTTTCTTCATCTGACAGTTTCTTCAGGAGGATTGCGGTGTTTGCTGGCTTCTCTTTCTTGTTGTACCGAGCCATCTGATCTACCACCTTCTCTGCTTCCTCCAGCTTACCATGAACTGCGAGCCACCGTAAGCTTTCTGGCACAATCCTAAAGATGTACAGTGCAGCTACTGAATGTTGTATTTCATACCCTGACAGTTGGTTGCATCGTTAAATTCATTGCTGAGTGTAATGCTTCAATAGACATATAAAATGTCATTTACATTTCACAGAGAGATTCAACAACAGGTAAAATATTCATCCATTACAATCTGACTGAAAAAAGGATGTTCTCACCACTGATATTCCAATATGCTCATCATAAATACCGCAGAACATAAACTAAAGCTGCAATCTAATAAGTTAAACATCGTGATGTCTGCACAAGGCGTATATACACATATGGGTTGTTTACTCCCGCAAACAAATATGTATTTATGAGAACATTAAAGAGTAGCATCAGAAGAGGTCAAATATTGAAATGTTACAGAAAAGCAGGACATATATTATGTATAGCGCCAGTACTGAGTATATGTGTGCGAAATTATATTCCAGTTTGGGCATAACTGACTGTGTAGCATGTTAACTTGGCTGACGGGTTAACTCTTTTGAAAATTCTCTATTCGAAACTCTTAAACAAATAGGGGTGTCATGATTGAAGGAACTAAATGTATGAATCCCTGTCCAGCTATATACATACCAATGGCAGCGTAATGGTCATACACAAGACTTAGAATACTGTATTACGTAGTTGGTAACTCACATAATCGTTTCATCATATATACATGTAGCTTCTAAATACCACTCACATTTGCACCAGATACAATATACAGTATATATTACTAACAGATAACCAAAGAAAAAGGGAACTTGAATGGCTGCCAGTATGATGTGAAGATCGGACCAGTTTGGACGTAACCAACAAGTGAGAGAAAGCAGAGCAGATCCACGGGCCAGAAGGGAATAGCGGCGATGATTGGACGCCAGCGGGTCCCTATGAACTCCATTGTGTAGGTAAAGCTCACCACCAGGAATGAACCAACCATCAATCCAATACAAAATCTGAAAAAATATTCTCCATCAGATGGGGACACCGAAAACGAGTGAATAATAGTTGAACCTGCTTTCAGTCATATTCGATTGCTTCTTTTCCGAATGGGAAAATGATGAATTCCATGCATTATGGACATGCTGAGGTTTAAAACTTAAACCAATAGGCTGTTCATGGACCCTGATGGGATATAATCAGTATGTTATATATAATAAAATAATAATATAATTAACTGAATAAGAACGAGTGGGCATTGCAATGGCAGGCAATGCAGGCACCTTTAGTGTTAACTTTAGAATGATTTCATACATGCCTTAACGCAATAAACATCTGCCATGATACTGAAAATGCTGCAGTCAAGTTGAACCCTGCGTGGAGGAACAAAGATATGTAGTAGGTCTTCTTTCTCCCAATGACATCAGCAGATTGACCACTAATGAACGCCCCAATCAGCACACCCGTCATCTGAACTGCTGTTATCAATGGCTTGATCCCTTCCATATCACATAACAGGTTCCACTGAGAACAAAAATGTGTATCTGTATCATGTGATGTAATAATTGACATTTTAACGGACGGGAACTGATCAAACTACTTTAGTGTTTTCAATATGTAGTTTTAAACATCTAATGGTTAATGTAAGGCTGATCAGGGGAATGAGTGTGTACACACTCAAAAACAGGATCCACTTGCTGAGTGTTCTAATCCCAGATACACTTTTGTGACAATATTTCTGTTAGAGGCACAAACACACTTCTGGTTTTAATACACTTTGTATCCAATGCGTAACGTACTTTTAAAAATAAAAATCCCCTAAATTTGGTTGCTGGTGGTGATGGCATTGTAACAGTGTTAAAAGAGAAAAATAGATGTATGTGTTGCTTGAATATTTCATAATTTGAGATGTTAATGGCTAGAATCGAAATGTATGAGGTCGTGCTAATGTTTTTCAGTCCATTGTATATTTATCAACTGATGTCTCCTGATGACATTAAACTTCAACTCACTCGTAAGCGGATCCTTTTGTAATTATTTCATGTAAGTAATCGATGTAACTTGGGATATTAGGGGCCATATTTGTATATGTTATGGCAGTTGATGTCTATACGGATACCTGAAGCACCATATCCTACACTGATATCTAGAGAACGATAACGAATACCAAAGAACCATTTGAAAATGACCGTAAGCACCATCCACTAATGATACCTGGGCGATCATCATATAATGATGTATGCTCAAGGAACAAACTTCACCACCCCATATTTTTCAAACTATCAATATGTTACAATTAGCCACAGCGGAGGAACCTTAATCAAACCTCACTGTCACGTAATATCCGGATACAATGATGCTAAAAAATAATTACATGACAACTCACAACTAAGAAAGAACCAAAACCGTAGTTTATATAAAGATGCCTACATGGCGAAGAAATGCATCTAGCTATGGTCGTCTGACGTGAACAAATGTTTACATATACAAGATTCTGGCAAACAATCCTCATGAAATTACCTAAGTATCAATAATCGAGCACAATATCATTATCAGGTGAAACCTCCGCCAACATTCTTGTGTATTGCAATGCGTTATGATAATGTAACGAAAGACCCATAATGTCCCAAACCTGCTCCATGGAAATGAGGTTTGGAGGCGACGCGCATTTGATCGTAGGACGTGCATATCTAAAATCAATGTGTGGTGCTCTTGACGCGTCAAAATAGTCATACAATACAATAATTATATCATGACTAGAAATAGCTATATGGGGCTTAACATCAGTAGGTGTTGCGGTACGTTTTTTTCCATATGTATCCTGTGTAACAAGCGCACCATCTAATCATTTTGAGAGATCTTCTTCTGATACTTGGGGATAGTTTTATCAAACTATAATGCTAGCTACACCTTGTGGACAATCTTCTGCTGATGCTTGGGGATAGTTGTAAAACTATAATGTTAGATACCTTGAGGTCACTGTTAACATGATTCGTGGCCAACCATACTACCACGATATACACAAGAAGCTGCACCCCAGTATTACACGATCCTATAATGCCAAACTAAGCACTATCTTGCAATGACATTTGACACCCTGTAATGATATATACCTGCAGTTCCATCCTGTAATGCAATACACTTGGTTCACAATGATATATACCACAGGGCCTAGATTTTCGATGCTCTCTTAGCGCTAAGGTAGTCGTATGTTAATGTATGGCACTTACAACTATCTTAGCGATAAGAATGTCTAGACCCAGGAATACTACTCTTTGATAATACGTCACTGTCCGAATGTCGGCACATATAAAACAACTCGGACCATTTCGACACAGCTGAGCACCTTGATATTCATTATGGGAATTTGTTTTCTGTGACATTTATTCACTAAATGTCTTATCGTATACATTTTCGTCATACTATTTGCATACTTGATCTAACATGTAGGTAGGTTTATGCATGTAATGTTTCAGTGCCCTTGATATCATTTGTAGATATTAGATATTGTTTTAATGATTAGAAGTTTAAATTAGTAACTTAGATTGCTAGTGGCTGTACCCTCAAGGGAGGTTAAAGAGTTGTAAAATATTGTCCCAGTGAGAGGGTACGTAAGTCCCTAAACTTTCAAAGTATATTTCAAACTTACCAGGATTTTTAGCATAGAAGTTCTGTGATTTTTAATTATGGCTAAATTTGACTACAATCGCCATCGGCTAAAGGGATGATGTAAAAAATCCAGCTATGGTCCATGTAGGTAGCAAAAGTCCTGGAAGTCCCCTTGGTCCCTAGTATGGTGATCAACCTTCAGTTGCTCTTGATCTATAGCCCATTTTTATATTGTACTGTTGCCTCTAGCGATGTATATTTATGATAGCGTACTAGTTTTAAATTTAAAGCTGTGATAATCTAGTATTTTTACTGTCCTTCGATGACGTTTTTTTACATTCTAACTTTATTGATTTTAATATTGATATAAATTAAATTGGTCTCTTCACGATATAGCTGCAATATTGCCGATGTGACGCTTAATCTTAACTCACTCACTCACTATGATACTATGTAGATTACATTGTTTTATATTATTTTACAGGACCACCATCGTATAAAGTTACCGTAAACATATTATTTTCCCGGATATCTGGAGTGAGTGAGTGAGTTATTATTTAACATCACATCGGCAATATTGCAGCCATATCGTGACGAGAACATATTTGATTTTGAAGTGGAATATATTTATATTATAAAAACCTGTGGACGAAGGACAGTAAAACAACTAGAATATCACAATTAGAATTAAAACTAGCGTGGAAAGTTTAAAACTAATAGCACTATTGGGGCAATACAATATAAATACAGGCAAGATCTCGCCAACAACAGAAGGTAGATCACCATACTAGGGACCATGGGTGTTTAGAGTACCTTTGCTACCTGCATGGACCCTAGCTGGATTTACAACATCTCTTCAGCCGTTGGCGATTGTAGGAGAATTTAGCCGGCAGTTAAAAGAACAAAAATATTACGATTAAAATGTGGTAAATTTACATCTTACTTGAAAGTTTTGGGACTTACGTACCCCGGATATCTGGAGCAACACCAAGATGATGCTTGCATTATAGGATAACAACACCTTGGGAACCATCACTTAATGATACAAGCCTGAAACACCATCCTGCAATAGTAAATGCCGAAAACATCTTAGCACAGACCCATTATATTCCTGGGAAAGAAGGTAACTCCATATTGCTGAATGTGCAATTCGTAATAAATACTTCTGAGTTAACAGTCCCAATCATGCCAACGTATATGCAAAATACTTAAACACATCAAGGCTGTTTCTTTAATGAATTTAATGGTAACTTACTTCACTGATGGCAGTGTTCTTCTCTTGGCTGTACACAAAAGTACATGTGCTTTCGTTGCCTGTTGCCGGACACGCCTTCAGGCCAGTGTAGTTGCTGACGTCGACGTTATCAGCAGCATCGCTGACGATGTCCGTGCACCACCATTTTTCAGGGTCCACTCCCACGAACGACATCATCAACATTCCCCATGCTATCAATCCTTTAGGAACCATGACCAGCAGCATGATGGTGATCTGGAACCGTGACATTCCCCCCACACCGTCTATGATCTCATCAGAGTACATCCTTGTGTCTTCTCTTAGATCTGGAGATATACAAACATGTATCATTTTGTTTCAGCAACAAGATAATAAGTGAGTGAGTGAGTTTAACGTCATCCCGGCAATATTTCAGCCATATAGTGACGGGAAAGGTTTTGCATTCACAATAAATACAAGCCGTTAAATAGCCAGCCATAGAAGGACTGAAAAAATAACTAGAGTATCACAGACGGTGTTTAAACCTAGCATGTGAATCTAAAACTAGTTTAGTTACGAAGACGATATACTATAAAAAAAGGCTAAACATCGGCAACAACTGAAGGTGGATCACCATATTAGGGACATGGGTACTTACATGAGATTTGTAATAAAGTAAAAACTTAATATAATGTTTCCATTAAGAATACAATTTACACAAAACTATGCTGTTTGTCATTCGACTACACACAAATGTATATAGACCACAATTTGTGCCCAGCCAAGCTAACGAAACAGGGCAAAGGGACATCAGAGGAAATCATGCATAATGTAAAACATGACCTAATGACCCCACTTGTAATTTATGCTAATTGTAATAGGTAAAACATGGCAATGGTCACATTTATGTACTTGTGAGAGGACAACATGTAATAGCCGCGACCATAAATGTTCCCCCTGGGGCCGGATGATGTATATAATCGTGTCATTCTTCTCCCAACTGTCATTCTGAAGAACACTGAAAACACATGACCGTTGGCAAGCGAATTCAATCCGGTTCCCCTGAAAACATGTCACATTAGAAAATGTAGAAGATTGCATAATGCCTGTCAATGTGAAGTACCTTACCCAATTCGACCTCATTTACAAAGGTAAGGACCTATCTGCCACATTTAATATTGCGTAAAATATATTTATGTTTATGACGTACCTTCGAAGCAGTTGGAATGTGCCGAGTTTCAGAGGTATGGCATCTGTAGGCAATACAAGCTTCAGCTCAAGACAGTGTGCTCACGTTGTGTGTTCGTAACGGCCTCCACGTGTATTGCAGGGCGGCCTGTATGTAAATATGTAAAGTGACTGCGAGCTTCAAGTACTTGGTTTAGTGATTGAGTTAATTTGCATTAGAATGTGTCTGAAGTATGTCAGACCAACGTGACATGAGCCAAGATAAGGAGCCCATGTTCTTGTGGCAGCCTTGTTTACGATGTATCAAGTCGCACATATAAGGAATGTATTTGTGGTACGCTCGCTGGCTTTATCTGACCTGTATCCAGGGCCCTTAGACAAATCCGTCTATATGTATTATGCTGAGTCCCATTGCAATTCGTGTTTGAGCAAATGTTTGAGGATCCTGTACAGCGGATATGCGTCACACTTATTACAAACAGTATATTTATGTAGCTTTCTTTCTTTAGTATTTTCACACATTGCTATAAACGGAAGCCATACCTTATACATGTACAAAATGTAAGCTACATGTATGTTCGGATTATGAACGATAACGTGAAACCGTCACCATAACAAATGGGTGATTTGTTTTAAACTCTTTGCATGTGTTGTCTTTGTTACGTTGTTTCAGTGAACCAAGTGACACCCATTTGAACTAAACATTTGAATTTCATACATATATCTGAAATATTTGTCAAACATACCTTGTTCCCGATCACACGACCTTATGCTTTGAGCATGTGAAATCATCTATTTCTAATGAAATAATATTCATGATGAAGAACAATTGTCACTTACATGATACTATACACGTTACAGCAGCAGAACCACGAGTACATGACATTTGTGACAAAGTGAAAGACCTTGCATTTACTTCGGATGTAACTGTATCGAATAGAATGAACTTTGAGCATCAATAAGAAGAAACTTATTTATGCATTAGTGAATTTCTGATGAAGCGAAGAGAAATATTTATATGTCCCCAAATGAATTCGTTTTAAAGAACCAATATAGTTTAACAGAAGCTCTAACTGTCGTAACAATCAGCGGGCATTAGCTTAGTGATTCGACTGAGCTTCTCATGTTTGAAGCCACTGGACCGTTACACAGCTTACCAGATATAACCACACCACTGTGTAACATTAATGTTTTATACGCCATATAAATGGAATAGACTGCGATATAATACAGTACTCCCAAATTCACATTTATCCTTTGTTAAATGATCCTATATTGTACCATATGTCTTTATGTATATGGGCCTACGGTCTTTCATACAATAAATATTAGAAATAGAATAAAAAATCCCATTATATTCATGGCTTGCTTGCCAGTCACTGTGATGATCACCGCATGACCATCGACGATACACTTTGTCGTGTAATAACTATGCCATGTGGATTTAGCAAGATATATCTGATGTTTAAACAGCGGTACACGTTGTCGAACGCACGGTTTCTCCACGTGGGGTCAACAAGAGTTCATCTCGAGGTCGCGCATACCTACAATAACGTATAGTCAAAGTAAAGTATTCACTCACACATAAACACGTGTCAACGTGCGTTAAGATGGCTGGGGGGAGGGGGTGTGTGATGATGATTTCTGTGGCGAAGCATGTACAATGTGAATGACCACCGCCCTAAAATTTATTTACAAAATAAGTGACCCCCCTTCCATATCATGTACAAAATCAGTGACCCCCCCTCCCCTTTCCATATATTCTAAGCATAATTTTAAACATATTCTTATGTACAAAATTTCTGACCCTCCCTAGTTCGTGTGTACAAAATCGCTGACCCCCCTAGCTCCCCAGAACATAATGAGCTACCTCCCCTTAAAATCATCAAACAACCCCAACATCCCCCCAACCATAAATTATGAACGGTCCCTTATCTGGTTTTGTAAGGAGGACACATGGATAACATCGCCCCTTTCAGCTCTCTGAACAGATTGTTTACAAGGCTAATATTAACATTGTAAACTGTTTGGTGGTATTGGATGTATCCTACTTCAGGCTGCACAAACAAACATGCTCAACACTGAGTAGACTAGATCCCAAGCAGTAGACACCTCAGGGGCATGTAAATATGTGCACATTTTATTTGTAGCCGCCTTTTAGCATTTTATAATCAGAACTGGTTCGCCTAATGTTTTGCTGCAATTTTCAGCATTAGCGAATGAGTTAGTTATTTCAATGTAAACATCGCATCGGCAATATTACATAGTCTGTTGAAAAATGACAGTAAGTAAACATTTTAATTACACAATAATATAAGGTCTCATTTTAAGGTCAGATGCTAACCTATAAAGTACACCTGTACTTTGGTTATTTTAATGTTGTTTGCCAAAAGGTTCTAAATACTCTGAATTGTGGATTATTAATGAATAAATGTGTTACAAGCACAAAGTAGCTGTGCAGTTGCCAATGTGACTTTACATTTTAACTCACTCACTCTTGCGAGGATAGAAATTGTGCAATACTTTAACCCAAGAATGGCCCTCTCGTCACTAATCTGAGTTCTTGATGACATCACATTAATCTAAACAACCCACAAGACTTCGGTGGTAAGTGGGTTGTATAATCATTGAGGTAGAAATCCGGGTCATTTGATGTTCTGGCATTAAAGTCGCCAAAATATAAACATACTCATATCTCCATAGTCACATATCATTTGCAACAGAATATCTTCCAGCTTTCCAATTCCGTTGTTTTCTGAACTTTCATACCCGGACGATCAACATGGGTGAACATAAATGAAACCGATGTAAATCTTTGCAGCTTAAGGTTTTCATTTTGTATAGACCCTATTTAAGTATTCAACAAGTTCTCTTTTTACATACACCTGTGCCACCATAATAGCGTCCTAAGTTTGATGATCGAGATGGTTTATATACGTAGTAGTCATACCCCGCAAAGGTTGTTCGTAAACTATCTAAAGCATTTTTAAACAGAGTTTCAATGAAACAGAACATGTCATATATACGGAAAAAGTCAATTAATTGATAACCACACAGCTTAGATATCAAACCGCTAATGTTGCAACAACAAACATTTAATTTCCTCTCAGAACAGTCAATAACATTTGAATCTTGATCTGGATAGACAAAAGTTGTGTTATTGAGGCCACGGCCAAACCCTTATGTAGATTTATTGGTGTTGTCTGTTGAAGAAGTTGATGATGTTGGGACATGTCCAGTCCATATATCAGCTAGTGGTAATATTTTCTTCTGGTTATTTCTGTTGCCAGTATAAGTATGCAATGGGTCCTACGACCCTCCTTTTGCCGGAGGTCATTAATATGCATGAAACTCATTAATATCCAAATGAATGCATGACGTCATAGGTCGGTGGGGTTAATCAGTCGTAGCTATGACGGCAGGAAGATAGAATTGTGGTTTAACACATACATCGCTTGTCTAGAGGCGCAATGGCAAACAAATCTACCTATTCAGCTAGTGACCTCAGCTTCTGAATTATTTTAACCTGTCAGCATCGACCTAATTTCTCCCAACTATCCACTCCAAAAGTGTGAGTAGAGGGTATAGTGTGAGTGTGTTGAAAATACTTAAATGCCACACGAGCGGACGGGCTTGTGTCAACACGGTTTGGGGGCTGTTGCGCATGCGCGTGATTTCAGCTAAGACGTCGGATTGAGTGTGTGAGTGAGTGAGTTAAGATTTAACGTCTAATCGGCAATATTTCAGCCATATTGTGACGAAAACATATTTGACGTTGGAATGAAACGTGTGTATAATATAAACCTGTCGTCAAAAGACAGTAAAAAAACTAGAATATCACAATAAGAGTTACAACTAGCGCGGAAAGTTAAAACACACAGCGCTATTTGGACAATACAATATATAAACAGGCTATAGATCGCCAACACCTGAAAGTAGATCACCAAACTAGGGACCATTGGGACTTACAGACCCTAGTTGGATTTACACCATCCCCTTCAGCTGTTGGCGATTGTCAGAAATGTTAGCCAAAATTTAAATAACAAGAATACTACGTTTAAAAATCCTGGTAAGTTTGAATTGACTTTGAAAGTTTTGTGACGTACGTACCCTCTAAGGAGGACAATACGCTACTTCAACCCCCTTTTAGGATACAGCCACTAACAATCGAAGTTGATACATTGAACTACCAATTATAAAACTTTATCTATTTACAAAACATATATCAAAATTCATTGAACAAATCTATCTCTTTTAAAAAATCAATGATTAAATGATAATTAACTTTTCTAAAAAGGTCCTTTACTGTTTTGATATTGAAGAATTTATCCCTTATGCGGGAGAATTCAACACAGGTCAAGCAGGATATGCTTGACAGTGACTCTCTCATCACAAGGGATACAAAACGGAAAATCCTCGCCTTTCAATAGATATACATGTGTCTATCTTGTGTGGCCAATACGACATCGTCGTTAATGACCTCATCAAATCTGGACTGACAACCCAAGTAGGTGCAACCAATATAGGGTTTTAGTTCATGTCCCACTTCTTTTGCATCAGATCACGGGTGTAGGTTCTAATGCTAGCTTTGTAATCAGAGAATGGAATAAACAGTGGTGTCACAGATTTATTAAGTGCTGCCTTGGCAGCAAGATGAGCCATGGTAATCCCAGAAATGCCAACAATAGACGATGTCACATTTGTCAGTAGCAAGCTCATTATACAATTCAATAATTTCTAACAAAAGTGGTTGTTTACAAGAAACATTTTTAACAGCCTGAAGACACGAAAGAGAATCGAAAAAAATTAGGTATTGTTTATATTTACGGTGTTTATTAATATAGTTAAGAGCTGTTAATATGACCTTCGCTTCTGCTTTGAAAATAGAGCTGTTATTTGATAGTCGAGAAGATATTGTTCGGGATGCATTGACAGTGGCACATGCACCGCGCCACCATCCTTGGACCCATCTGTAAATAAGGATTTGTATGTATTATAGTTATTGTTTCATTGATTATATTCTTGTTTATATTGTAATTCATTAGTTTCAGCTTTCTTAAACTTTGTCAGAGTTAGGTCAACTTCAGGCCTCACTAGTTGCCAAGTAGGAGAAGAAAGAAGACCGGAAGGAGAAAGACTTTTTGTTGTATAAATCCTCATAAAGAGGATTGAAAACACAG